GGGAAGGTGTGTAAGTGTTAGTCGTGTGGGGATGCCCCCTCACGGGGGCGTACGTGTCTTTTGGTGTATTTGTCTGTCTGGTATATTGTTTGTCGGGGGTCGCAATTTTAAAGAAATGTATTCTAAAGTAATGCAAATAACTGATAAATAAGTAAAAACTTACCTGGGCATAACCCCGGCACAGGTGCTGTAACAAAGATGCCGACGGCGTCTATGCTTAAGCCGGGGATTAGGTCGGTGATTAAAAGGAAAGAAAGGGATTCTTTCCAGGTAGCCTTAATAAAGGCAGGTAGAATTTGCTCCTTGCACTACACTTTCACAAAACACGTGTGCTCTGGTCGGCTGCCCGCTAGGAACTGAGATAGATACTAGAATGTCAAAATTTATCTTTTTAATGAAAATTATGTCAAGATTTTATAAATCTTATATATTTTGTGGCTCGTGTATCGGGATCGCAGAAGCTTGCAGAGGTATTTGCGTGCCTGATAAAAAAAGAAAGGTGTATTCTGGAAAAGTCGAAGATTTTTGGTTCTGAAAATAATGAAAAAAATCCAGTAAACTATAATGGCCCTGGCCAATCCAAAGCTGTATTCAGTTCCTATCCAGCTCCTCCAGATTTCGAAATTTTCTATTTTTTTTTCTCGACGGTACCACTCGCACGAAAACCGATCATCTCAGCGTGTTTAGCAACCTCACATTCATATGAAAACGATTCTACGATTGTACAAAGACTCTTTAATTTTCTGAAAATTTTCGTGCCATTAGAAATGCATTATTCCAATCAATTATGTGTTCAGTGAAGTGGAACGTTCACTTGTGTCGATTAACCAATCGCGCTGCACAAAATAGTTCCAAAGTTTCATACCGCCCCCTATCGCTCAGAAGCTACACTAAACTGCGGAAGAATTCTTTAACAGACAGCTAACTGTAACAGCCCGACAGTCGCTGGTGAATTTATTGAACTTTTAACGTATAGATGGCACCACCTCCATTCCCAATGAACGACGACATGAGTATTACAAAAATTAATAATTTTTTTTTCTTCTTAACGAGGGTCACTTGCTACTATTCTAGAATGTTTAGCAACCCCAGTCGCGTACGATAATGTCTTTAGTTGAATAGGCACTAGTTTTTTGACAAATTTCATGGACTATACATTTCCATTTTTCGTTTCTTGTTCGGTAGGCAACATACAATACATATACTTGGTTGCATAAATATCCCTAAAATTTAACATTCTAAATTACAAGTAAATGCACTAAAAATTAACACAATTATAATAAATAAATCTTCATTTATTTATAGAACAAAACATTTCACCTACACAGAAACGTCGGTTCTTTCTCGATACAGCCAATGCAATCACGTTGAGGGCTCTATAGCAAATAGGCAACCAGCAATACATTTTTATAGATTTTATTACAGGGTTTGACTAAATATGAATCAATGGACAAAAAACAGACTTTCCTCCATTCTAACGCAAATTTTCTATAAAATGGAGTTAGTTTGAAACTCAAATAACTTTTTGTTGTAAAGAAATTTGTAATTTACCGCTAAGTAATTTCATAAATTACTAATTTCTTTACAACAAAAAGTAATTTGAGTTTAAAACCAACTCGATTTTATAGAAAATTTGTGTTAGAATGGAGAAAAGTCTGTTATTTGTGCATTAATTCATATTTAGACAAAGAAATTTGTAATTTGCAGCCTTTGAACAAACGGCATTGTAAATATATTCCATTCTTAATATCAGCATTTAAAGTTTGACAAAACGGCATCGGTTTTTTTAAAATCATATACATAATGTACAGGGTGTTACATACAGGAAGTACAAGGAGAACTTAACATCGAATGGCAAATCAATGAATAAAATATAGAAAATCTATAATAATAGTTTATTGACCTTAAAAACTAAAAGCACATACTCACAAACGGTTTAAAGAGTGAATAAGGTTACAGCAAAACAGAATACACATCTTTATTTATATACAATTAATCCGATATTTGCTGTCGATCAACTAAATTAACACTAAACTAGGAATAAGTATGGAGACATCAACTAAGGTCAACTACCATTTCTTCCAAAATATTTTACATTAAAATGGACAGTGTAACCCTAAGGAAATGTAAAATGACCTCTATCCGACAACAGAAACATCAAAAACAAAACAAAAATGAAATGGAAAATGAAACATCACAATTATTTAACATTACGAAGTATACTTAATCGATATATACAGTGCTATACACTTAAACGATGTATAAGGAGTTTCCAACGATTTAACCGTTTGTGCCCAAACAATTTTTTGACACCCGCACAATGAAAGTTCTCTCCGTACCGTTACGAGGGCCCCTACTTCCCTGAAACGCTACTAATACGGCATTTTTTCCAAACAAAGGGAAGTCGGGGCGACAAACTCTCATCACGACGGTAGTTTTTGTGAACGTTCACGTGATTTGATAATTGTAGCCGAAACCAAAATAATTTTTAATGTCAGTTTAGAGTATTTTTGAGCAAATATAGACGTCACAATTTGTTAAAAAAAAAACGAAAAAATTTACATGAGTATCGTGATGTTGCAGTGAAATATACAGGGTGTCCAAAAACTGATGGGACATTTCTCGGACTTAAGTAAGACACGCATTTCATTTATTTGTAGTCACCCTGTAAGTCTTGAAGTTGGAAATAGATTTTTCATCACTTTTATTTTTTATTTATTGTATAACGTTTTACCACATGAAATAAAAACTTTAAATTTTATTAGTTTTAAGCGTAACGTGAAACAATTTTTATTAAGACATGCTTTCTATAGCATAGATGAATTTTTAAATACAAATATGCAGTAGATGCATCCCATCTGTTTCCGGTCTATTCTTGTTTTAGTTATTTGTTGCTTTATTTATCTTATTATGTTGCATCTATGTATTCTAGTTGTCAGTCTTTACTGTATTTTTACGTTTGACTATTTAGTTAATGTTTGTATTGTATCTAATTTGTATGTGTGTTTTACATTTTGATTTTGTATTTTTAGACGTTAGATTTTAATCTTACTCTTACTATAGGACTCTATGTTCCCCTTTCTTTGTTTTTTGACTAGTGTAAATACTTTTGTATACCTAGCATCAATAAACTAAACTATATACGAGTGTAAGTCATTAACTATATTTAATTTGTATAAGTTTTGGGTTAATTACGTTATTTATTTAAAGAAATTTCTACTAATAGTCAAGAAAACTTAAACATAGAAAAACGGAATATGCAAACTTTTTTACTCCGAGATTTTTTTATAGAAAAGTGTAGGTTTTGAGATACAGACATATTTAAATGATTTTTCACGTTGTTGTTAGCAAAAACTGCCAATATCCAAATAAGTTTCCCCAAGTTTCAAATAAAAGTTGTTCAAAATTAAATTTCCTACCAATTGCTATGAAAATTTCGATTTTCTCTGGTTTTCCCGTATATTTCTTAAATGTAGTACAGATTATGTGAAAATTTATGTTTTGGAACCAAATAATGGTCAATTTATTTGTTAAGAGGGCTCTATAGCAAATAGCCAACCAGCAATACATTTTTATAGATTTTACTACACAGTTTGTCTAAATACGAATCAATGCACAAATAACAGACTTTCCTCCATTCTAACACAGATTTTCTATAAAATGGAGTTAGTTTGAAACTCAAATTACTTTTTGGTGTAAAGGAATTTGTAATTTACGATACAAATTTCAAATTTCTTTACAACAAAAAATAATTCGAGATTCAAACTAACTTCGTTTTATAGAAAATCTGCTTTAGAATGGGGGAAAGCTATTATTTGTGCATTAATTCGTATTTAAACAAACTGTGTAATAAAATATATAAAAATGTATTTTTGGTTGCCTATTTGCTATAGAGCCCTCTTAAATAACAAGTGAATTAGAGAGAAGAAAATTGTGGTAAATTCTTGGAAAATATCATAGTTTTCCGAGGTTTATGAGCATCAAAATTATCATTTTATAGGTTTTCGAGGGTGTACATTACAAATTACTTATGCGCTTTTTAATATTTTTCAGAAAAATCTGTATTTAAAATTTTCAACTTGACCTCTAAATGACTTTCAAGGTTATGGTCAAGGTCACCGTTGCATTGCTCACTCAAAACCCTGCAGCTTTTGTCCTAATCATTTTTTTGTTTGAGCAGTATTTTCTGAGATAGAGGGGGGTTCCAAACTTTCTGAAAACCCGCTATATACATATGCCTATATCTCAAAACGCTTGTATATTGTCCACGTTTTCTAACCTCAAAACCTAAACTTTTCTATAAAAAAGCTCAGGGCGAAAAAATTCGCTCATATTTTCCATATTTTCCTGGACCATAACGTATTCAGTTGCTAATAGCCCACTTTTTAAATTTTTATCGCAGTTTTAAAGATTTATATACTTTTTGAAGTGGGAAATGTGTAGCCCATTCTGCATCGAAACGACAAACCATTATCGACTTAAACGAGTATTTTGTTCTATTTTCGACAATAAATACACAACAAAAAAATTACCATTTACGCAGCAAATCAAGTACAAAATATCAAAAAATTATATGACATTGAGCATTTACATTGCCCCTTTCAAGTTTTTGTCACTATTAAGACGTCAGTATCGTTAAACGTATTTATCGTGAATTACACCTTTTCCACTCAAAAAAGTACTAAAACAAGGCTTAAAAACGGCTACAAAGATGTAAAAAGTATGCGACAAACTTTTTTTTAGGAGCCTCTAAAGCAGCTATCGGAAAACTGAATACATTAGTAGAAACAACTCAAATAACACTTATTTTACCCAAAAATGATGAAATTTAAAGAAAAATTAAAAAATCTATTCTCAACCATCAACTCCAAGACCTTCAGGGTGAAAGCGAAGAAAAAAGAAACTTGCGATATTATTGCAGGGGCTACTCGTACCCGAGAAATTGCCTACCATTTCCTGAACACCCTGTACAAATTAGCAATGAATTTATAGTACCAAATGGAATTTAAGGTTATAAATTTGACAGTTTCAAATATGGAGTAACTTTAAATAGAATGTAAGGTTATAAATTTGACAGTCGCGATGTCGAAAGTATACGCTTAGTACACTCGTACTTGTCGTTTTCACGCATTTTAAGAGGGCGAGAAAGGACGAGCTCCCCATACGACGTTTACCTAACACGAATCGTATAACTTGCAATGTTCAATCGATCTCCATCCGCGCCGCCCGACGCGCGCCTCCGCCTAACCGAAACGGCTTAAAACAATTAAAAAAATATAATCCGATTCTCTCAAATCGCTCCTCTAAACCAGCAATTGCACGGTCACTAACAAAAACGGAAAACACTCTCTTAACGGCGATTACCTTCGAGAAATTACATTTATCAACAGACACTGGCCAGAGACTAAACGGTACCCGACGCGAATACCGAGGGAAAGGAAAAGCCTACAACGGAAAGTCACAGTCGATTATCCCACACATCTCGCTACGATGACGGACGAAATTTTTACGTCGCTACCGCGGTACCGCAGCCCCTTCAAACGAAACTCGTTGAAATTTTGGAATGAACCCGAGAAAGAAGGTGTAGGCACTAAGATATATAAATTTAATTAAGAAAATTTAGATTATATACCAACAAAACAAACATCGAATGATGCGTTATTATATTTTAAATAAGGAAAATGAGAAACATAACACATTGGCACGGCTACGCACTTAACCATCTTCTTTGGGCGGGGTGAACCAACCTAGACGGGAAATTAACGATATTAATTCATTCGCAGTTACCGAAATCGTTTTAATAAACCAATTAAACACTTACCGTTCTTCTCGTGTATCTGTACAAGTGATTTGAAGCTCTGCTGGGCCCTCGCCAGGCTGTACTGGCCCTGCGAGCAAACCTTGGGGGCGCCGAATTGTATGCGGGCCTTCCCCTTCACTAGGGTTGCCGAGATCTGCATTATTACGGCCTCTACGGTGTAGGCGCTGGACCAACCCTGCTTGGTCAGCAACTCCATGCATATGGCCCCGCCTACCAAGACGTAACCCCCTGGAAAGACACAGCGGCGTAAATACTACGAAATTTGTGGTAAAATATTTTTTATAAATCGGAGAATTTTAAAAATTAATTTGGACGGTCAAAATAAGAAATGATGTTCTGAGGGCCTTTCGATTTGGCAAAAATAGTAGCTATTAATAGCTAATAGCAGCTTAGAGTTACTCTGAACTGATATAAGTTGCTAATAGCTACTATTTTTGCAAAACGAAAGCCCCCCTGGTATGCTTCGTTTTGAGACGTAGGGTATTGAAATATTAAAAATTAAATCACTTTCTAAAACGGGGCAGTTAAATACGAGTCAGAACCTACCAACACAGATGTAAATAAACTGTTTACATTTTAGCAATATTTGAGGAACATCATTTTCATTGGAAGTACTTTTTATATACGAATTTGTCCAAAACACAACAGGACGGTTAACAGACTTTTTTTACATAAAGGAATGTGATCATAACTTCATGGAAAAATATAAAAATCCCCAATATCACAGCTGTCAAATTGTATACATTAAGTGCTTCCATTGAAACAAACATTTCTTTTTTTCGCTCCATTGACAAAATATTGTTCTAAACATTGAAAACAAATTTCTCACTAAATTTCAGCTCCTAATTCAAATTTTTTGTACTCATTATTTGAGTTTAATGTATTCCTATTCCTTTAACACGTAAACCTAAGTTTTTTTTTAATTATTTATATCTAGGTTGCATTTCACATCATTTTATTATCCATAAGCGATAATTAAAGGAAAATCTTTGTTATTTGAATGTGCCGATAGTATGTGACTTGAACAGTTTCACTGCTACAAAATCTTCGTTTTTTTTTTAATTTTTATCGATTTTTAAATTTTCCTACTTACAGCAAAAACACAAAAGATATTTTTGTAAGAAATTTGCTATAAAAAAGGTCTCAATATCTACGCTAAGATAATACAAGGATATTTTAAGTATTCAAACATTCGATTCTATTTATCTCGTGAACTAATAACTTCTCAGCTTAGATACTAAGGACCTTTTTTAGAGTAAATTTAATTTCCTATAATATCATTAATGTTTTCGTTGTAAGTCTAGACATTTATGGGGAAAATGCAAAAATCAATAAAAATTTGACCGTTCAAGTCACAGATTCTACTATGATCACTTTCAAATAAAGATTCCCCTATAATTATCGCCTATGGACAATAAAATAACGCAAAATTCAGAAAAGATATAGATAATTTAAAAGAAAAAAACAGTAGGTTTATGTGTTAAATGAATAGGAAAGTTTTAAAATCAAATAGCGAGTACTAAAAATTAAAAATCAGAGCTGAAATTTGTTGAGAAATGAAACAGTTTCAAATAAGTCTCATGTTTATTTCCCACTTTTAAGTGATTTTTTATTTTTAAATTGGTCCCTTGTCCTAAATTAGTTGCATTGCCAAGCAAATGTAACCATTTTGTTTGTGTTTTTTGATTGTCTTGAATAAATAAAATGGATATCAATCAATATAATAACCAACTGAAACATTATTTTTACTGTCAAAAATTTTAAATCTACATTAAAGAGTGACCGCAAAAATCGTCCGTTTTTTGACAATTCACAGAGAAGTAAAGAAAATAGATAAAAATATGTTTTTGGTCTCAAATTATTCGTCATGAAAAATTAAGATGAGCATAGCTTTTAGTTTTTCAAATATTTTCAAAAATCACCCCTATTTAGGGGTTGAAAAGCCGCCCAAACTGAAGAATTGAATATTACCAATAAATATAAAAATTATTAGCATGTGAATTTTTCTATCGAATGATTCTCGATCACGCTGAATTAGAAAATCCACCCTTAAGCGCGCTCAGGGGGTGGAATCATCTCCAAAAATAGAGAATATCAGAAATAATTGGAAAAATTCCAAAAAAAAAAATATATTAAAATAATTCACATGCTAATAGTTTTTATATCAATTGGTAATATACAAATTCTTCATTTATGGCATTTTTTTCAACCCCTGAGTAGGGATGATTTTTAAAATTTTCAAGATACTAAAAGCCATGCTCATTTCAGTTTTTTACGACAAGTAATTTGCGATCAAAAACATATTTTTATGTATTTTTTTTAATTCTCTGCGAATTGTGAAGAAACGGGTGAAAATCACAGGTTTTTTGAGGTCACTCTTTGACTTGTGTTTAAAAAAAAAAAACAGGAATAAAAATTAAAACAAAAAGCAACACAGAAATTATGGGTACGGGATATACCTTTAAAGAGAAAAGTAAAGGGGCATTTTCATAACTCAGATTGCAAGCTCAGAATGATGCCTAGGAGGAGGGTGAAGGACTGTTAGTACTCTATTATTGGCAACTTTCTCAAATTTACAGTTTTCGGAAATCTTCAAACACGTTTTTCTCAAAACGAAATTTTTTTGATTCACAGAAACTCTATAGTAGGATCATATTGGATGCAAAATAATAAATCATTGCCTGTCAAGGGATCCAGTGCAATACGCTTTTAAGGGGTTTAGAAATTGAATAATTTCTTTATTCTCATAAACTATTTATTTTAAGTGTAATTTATCATAAATCCAATTTGTTTTTTAAATTCCACATATGTACTAAATTTTATTTGTTTTAAAAGGTGAAAATCAATATTTTTATTTGAAACACGTGTCAAAATTTAAATTTTCACAATTTTTAACGGCAATGAGGTTCATATTCTTAGAAAACATGCTAATAATGCAGGAAAATAACCACTTTGCTTTCAGATCAAAATTGTGAATTTAGACAACGACTTTTGGTGGACAACAGGCCATAACTTCGGCATTTTCAATAGAAATTACTTGAGAAAATTTGTAAATGTAATTGATAAAATAATGTCAAAGTTTAATCAAATCGTAATCAATTTGCCCCTCTAAAAAATTCATGACAAAGACCTGAAAATCTCACCAAGGTAAGTAATAACAGTAAGTTTTTAGTATATTTTGTTTTTTTTTTAATTTTTTGAGTAATAATATATTAATGAAAATATAGCTATGTAAAAGATATTATCGAAAAATTCATCTTCAGTGTATTCTGTCGGATCAAGCTCAATAAACAATAAATCTCGCATAATGACAAAGATAGTAACATAATTCTATAGAAAAATTAAAAGTAGTTCAACTGTATTATGAAATTCGCAAAAAATTTGAAATATTCCCAACGTTAGATAATTTAAATAAAAAAAATACGAAATTTGGAGGAAATCCAGGAATATCACATCCAAGAAAATCAGCCTTGATTCCATGTATCTCTCCCACCGGTCGACATATTTATATCAAAATTCAGCAGATTTTAGAATTCAAATTTTAAATTCGGTAAATTAATCCAGAAAACAAGCTGCAGCTAAAAAAAATCAATAGCACTTGTGCAAGCCTATTCTGATAATTTTATCAGAATCTTACAACAAACTAATTCCACAGTACTGATAATTTTGCAATATTTCCACATAGGCGAATTATTGCAGAAAAAAGTTATTATGTGAAACATACAATAACACGGAGCAATTAATAAGCCTTGATGAAGACCTTGCTGTATGCGAAGAAAGTAAATCGAACTTAATATTCTTGTCACGTACGAGCCATTGCGTTATTTCATAACGAATTATTGCTGCATTACACTTTCTTTTTTATTACACCTAATGAGCGAATAAATATTACAAGTCCCGCATTTGTTATCGGATTCTTTTAACCCAGATATGGGCTTTCGACGAGGCGGACCTTGCACTAATTTCATTTCAGTAGAAAATTTCCAAAAATTGTGAGTTCAATGGGTTCATTAACATTTTTTTTTTAAATTCATATTCAGAAAGTACAGACTGTAGTAAGTTGATGCACAAAAATTCAAAATTTTGTTTCTACAGTGTCTCCCTCAAATAATTAATGAAAAGAGAACGCACGGAAGCCGTGCTGTGACGTCATGCTGTTCGTTTGCGGTTAGCTCACATTTTTTTTAAGTGGCCGTCATTTTGACCCAAATTGTCCCATCGAATTGCATGCATTTTCGGAATCGTATTTCCCGAGCGAAGCAAGTTGGCACATTGCTGCTCGACTGAAAGGTAGCTTATTTGGCCTTGAAAAACATACCCAAATTTGGGGAAAATAAAAGGTGGGGTTTTCGAGAAAATCGATTTTGAAAAAAAAACAATTTGAATTCTGAAAAAAATAGGTAAAAACTGATAAAATTCTGTATGTTTTGAAAAAACAAAAACCTTTTGACAGGATGATTTGGGTCTAAAATGATGGCCACTTGAAAAAAATATGCATTTTCGAAACCGTATCTCCCGAACGAAGCAAGTTGGTTGCCGCTTGGCTAAATGATAGCTTATTTGGTGTTGAAAAATATCAAAATTAGGTGAAACTAAAAGGTGGAATTTTTGAGGAAATCAATTAAAAAAATTTTTTTTCGGTTTTTCTCATTTATCTCGGAAAGTTTTAAAGCAATTTGAATTCTGAAAAAACTAGGTAAAAGCTGATGAAATTCTGCACATATTGAAAACAATATGCATGTTCTTTTTTGGAATAATGAAAACACAATGAAAATTTTGACACGGCGCACAGTGGGAAATATTGGACAAAATTCTCACCACTCGCCAATTTTCATCGTCTCGTGATTTTTTTTTTAATAATCTCACGGTAATCTAAATTTTCATATTCTGGTGGTTTTTTCGAAAAACCCTTTTTTTTTAATGCTTAGGGAGTGCCCCAATCTCAATATCGAAGAAAAAATTTTTAAATACTCGATGTTCAGTTGTAGAAAAAAATTTTTAAAAAGTGTCTGCTATTAATAAAATTGATTATTATGACCCTTGATAATATATCTGATGTTTTTTCTTCAAAACCTAACCTCAAAATTATTAATTCTAACCTAAAAGCCTTAAACGAAATAGATTCAATAGAACCCTATGTAACATGTTATACCCAAACCATGAATTTGAATCTAAAAAACCTAACCTCAAAACCAACATTAACTAAGTTTAAACTCACTAAATTAAGGATTTAAAAAAAATGAAAAATATCTTTATTGTACAGAGATTCGATCAACAATTTTGGCGATCGCGATGATTAACACTCAACAAAAATACATTTATACTTTTTATTAAAGAAAATAATTTTGTGACAATTTTTTTCAATCTAATGATTTGATTTGACAATCTTTCCAGTTTTGAGGTTAGGTTCTTGGGTTAAGGTGTCAGATGTGGGTACAGTATGGCACAAGGTGTATGTTCTCGGAAAAATTGTTGATCGAATCTCTGTACAATAAAGATATTTTTCATTTTTTTTTATTAATTAGTGAGTTTAAACTTAGTCAATGTTGATAGTACGCAAAGCGCAAATGGGTCCATCTGTCGTGCTGACTTCCCACTATGCCATTCAAATGGCTACTAAGGTAGGAAGCGACCTGCTAAAATTTGCCAGGTACTTTGTTGCACGACTGTCGCCTAGAAGGCAAAAAAATGTTTTTAAATTGCCAGTGTTGTGAGAAACAACTACTCCATGGACTATATGCCGGGCTTCGCGTACTATGTACCTCTTTGTCGTGAATATGCGACACTATAACAGCTGGATTGTTCGTCGGTTGTCTCACCTATGACACACTCATGACGACTAATAAGTCCGAAACTGGTCTGTGCCTGGTGGGTTAGACTGACGAGCGATCCTAGCTGTTGCACTAGGTGTTGCGAGTGTAATCCAATGCCGGTCGGGACATATAGCCCGCGGAGTAGTTGTTTCTCGCAACACTGGCAATTTAGTTAATGTTGGTTTTGAGGTTAGGTTTTTTAGATTCAAATTCATGGTTTGGGTATAACATGTGACGTAGTAATAATGTAAATTCCGTTTAAGGCTTTTAGGTTAGAATTAATAATTTTGAGGTTAGGTTTTTGAAGAAAAAACATCAGATATATCATCACTCCCTAAGCATTAAAAAAAAAAGGGTTTTTCGAAAAAACCTCACTGGAATGTGAAAATTCAGATTACCACGAGATTATTAAAAAAAAATCAGGACGAGACGATGAAAATTGGCGAGTGGCGAAAATTTTGTCCAATATTTCCCACTGTGCAGCACCACAGATCTGGAAATTTTTTTCGGAGAAACAAGTCCCAGGTCTCATAAAATTCAAAGTAGATACATCTCAATGTTTCAAAAAAATCGAAGAGGTCAATTTTTTTTGCTCGTTGAAGCCACATGGAAACCTTTAATGAAAATAACCCTTAACCGATCCTTTTGGCACAAAAATTTCATTAATCAATTTTTTATTTCACAAGTGGAAAAATAATAAAGGAAAAAAAACTTAAATTATACCATAAATAGAAAAAATGGCCCAAAAATCAAAAAGATTTTGTCTCACCACTTTGTTTTCATTTTTACTTTTGTTACATCAGTTTCTGTATTTTTTTATTTGTATTTTGACTGTTATTATTTTTTTATTGTACCGTTTCTTTAGTGCCTGCAACCACGATTGTAATATTAAACAAGAAATTTGCCCATAAATAAATAAATAAAGACACACAACGAATAAAATATAAAAAAAATATAAAAACTTACCAGAGATGATGGGATGCACCACCCTGACGAACGGGGGCTCGAACGGGTAAGTGTCCTTAAAGAGCATATTCAGCAAGATGGCGTCCTTCCCCTCCTTCTCCTTCAGCATCTGCAGGTCGTGGCTGAGTGGGCTGTCGGGGTCGACGCTCATCAGACGTACGTTCCACTCATAGAGAGAATCGTTGACGAGCTCTATCTGGTACATTTTGTTTTTGAAGGAGTCAGATCTATAAATATCTCTAAGTTCTTTCATAAGTCTATCCGTCGCCTGGACCGAACCCGACACCGAACCCTGCAACCGAAACAATTGAAAGAGAAGTGTTATGGTGGCGTTACGTCCGTCGCGTACCTTTAAATAATCCTGCCTTTGGTTTTGTCTTAACCGTTCTAATGTGGCTAAGTGTTCTACGCCCATCTCGTCGGCTTTTGGTCTGTTGTCCTCCATCTCTATGGCCAAGTCCTCGTCCGCGTCGCTGTCCTCTTCCGCATCGCTGTCGCCTATATCGACGTCCGCGTCACTGTCCAAACCTTCGTCTTCCATGGCTTCCATTCCGTTGCTACTTATCCTGGATCAAAAAACGTAAAGGTACATAGCACAAAGCTTAAAAAATTAATACGTACATTGCATGTATAAAAAATTCCAAAAATGACTTAATTTTGAATATTGTGGATTTAATTTGTATTTCTATCATAAATAGTTATTTTTGTATCTAGAACGAGAAATGGTACTTTTGCGTTCAAGAACGGAAGTTATTTTTCCGCGTTAAGCGAGGCAAAATCAAAATATCCATTCGATAACGCAAAAGCATTTCACATTCGAGATGCAAACAATATTTTTTCGAAAAAACTGCAATAAAATAAGACAATCATTGTGTTATATACAACAATTTGATTTATAACGAGCGTTCAAATAAAAACATGGTCGAAGTTGGCTCTGACACATTGGACGTAAGGAGTAGCTTATAGCGACCAACTTAACCTCATTTCTCAACGAGCTGTATAGCAGCTGTCAGTTTCAATAACGTTAATGACTATATAACTTTATTTTAAAGAATAATCGTGATAACAATAACAAACAATTAAAGGAGCTGCAGAAAATGTCCCCCTCCTTGTTCCAAGCACTTTACACACCTGTTCCTCAAAGAATTAAAGACATTTTCTAAGATGCTCGGGGTATTGTTAATTTCACGAATCTTGTCTACAAGTCGAGCCTGCAGATGGTTTAAATCAGGAATAGGCAGTTCAAAAATAGCGTTTTTAAGGTAAGGCCAAAAAAAGAAATCACACGGCGTAATATCACATGATCTCGGTGGAAATTCATATTCAGCATTGAGACTTATTAGTCGATTTTGGAAAACTTCCCTCAACATATTCATCGTCTCGCCTGCCGTATGTGCCCTTGCGCCATCTTGTTGAAAGTAAAAGTTTGTAATTTCGTTTTCTTCCAGCTGGTTAACAAAAGGAGCGATAATTTCTTCTCTATACCTTTGCGCAGTAAGAGTACCATTAAAAAAATAGGTCCAAAAATCCTCCTTCGATTGAGAGCAAACCAAACTCCAATTTTTTGAGCGTGTAGAGGGCCTCGACAAAAAAGTTATCTGGTTTTTCAGAAGACCACATTCTCATATTCTGTGAGTTTACGTAACCACTTAAATGAAACCAGGCTTCATCAGAAAAAAAGGTGATATTATGAAGTTCACCGTAGTTGTTTAAAAACCATTCACAAAATACAGCCTGTCGCGGAAAATCAACTTCATGAAGTTCTTGCTGACAAGTTAAACGATAGGAGAACAAACACAAATCTTTTTTTAACACTGTGTGGCAGGTACCGACTGATACTCCCACCATTTGTGATAAAACACGTACAGAAGTTCTTGGCGCATTTTCCATTATTTGTTGGACATTTTCTTTTAATTCTCCAGTCCGCTTTTTAGGTCGGCCGCTTCCTTCTTTTCTTGTTACACTGCCCGTTTCACGAAAAACATTAACACAACGCTGAACTGCACTTTGAAAAATTTTGTACTCAACAACGCCGGGAAATTGATTTTGAAATTCTATGAAACATTCCTCAATAGAATACTTCCATATTCCATCAATCTTGCGTCCATTTCTAAAGTAGGACTCTATGATAAACACTTTTTGTTCTTGAGAAAACACCATTTTAAACGCTTTTTAAAACGAAAATATTCAAATTGATAGCGGCGATATAGCGCTTTGACAGATGACATTTAAGTTCATTTGCTATACGCTACGCCCTACGTCCAAATTTTCAGAACCAACTTGACCACGTTTTTATTTGAACGCTTGTTATTTGAAAAATCAAGACGGTCTAGGCGCGGTGACTATCATAACAATAGCAATTTTAAAAACAATAAAAATTAGTTGTTTGAAAAAGCACTGACAGCACTGGATCTGGCAAAAATTTAACTCGCTGTAATATCGGAACTTTCAATTTACATGTAGTGCAAAATAAATTGTAATCGTCCAGTTTATAATAGTTACAGTTTTGTACTGAAATGTTATATTACCTAAAATGTATATTGTTTAATTAATAAAATCATAAATAAGTTTCGAAGAATTGACAAATTATTTTGACATTTGTTTTATGTTCTAGAACGAAAAAGACTTTGAAGATTTAGAACATAAAGTATTTTGCAGCTAGATGACAAAAAAGACTGTCAACTGATTATTTAATGAAAATGTCGACTTTTCATGACAATTTTCGAAAAAATTGATTTCAAGGAATCAAAAATCCATGCTATAAAAAAAATTTACAGAGATAAACACATGTAGTGATTTCGTAAAAAATTAATAACAATCAATTTCTTTAATATTCAGGTAAACCATAAAAAATTCAGTTTGCAAAATTATGAGCAATTTTCTTTGAAAAAGCCAGATTTAAATAATTATTTATATGAATACAATATGCAGAACGTATAGTAATAACAAACAAACATTGCAATTTTATACCATTTTCTCAATTTTTTTTTTAATATAAAGCTGCTTCTTAAAAATACAGACGGTAAAATGTTAGTATTCTGCAGACTCTTTGTACACCCCAGATAAGGTGAAATTACTTTTAGAAAAGAAAAGAATAGCTACAAATGTGGTTGTGATTGTAGCTGCAAAGCAGAAATTTTAATATTATCTATTTTTCATAGTTTTCCCTAAAACTGTGATTTTAAATGTGCTAGATTAATAAATTCTGTTATGACATCTCACGAGATTCAGGCACCGTAACTAATTCTGGCAAAGTAACAAGTTCTGAAACTGTTTTATTTACTGGTTTTGGCAAAGCCAAGACTGGGTCAGATCTATGACATTTGGTTAATTCTATATAAAAAAAAGAATTACGCATGCACTGCCATAAAATACACAAACAAAAATTTGCTATCACTACTAAAATACAGATTCTTTTTTATTTTTTTTTTTTGTAGCAGATAAAGTGTCAGTACCTTTTTTTTTTGGGTAAAATACGATGGTTGAGTAGAATATACCTCAGACCAAATTAGCTTCATTTGTGTGAGGGAATGTTAAATCCAAATTATACAAAATTAAAAATAAAAGTTACATCGCTGACCAAAATATGAAATATTTTATAATTTGCACATTTGCCCTTGATTTCTAATAAACCTAAAATTTTGTAATAATTTAAATCCAGATAATGTTAATTTGTAGCAAAAGTGTAGATTTCCTTTAAAGATTATTTTTTAAATAGTGATGCATAATTCAACAACAGCATTGTATGTAGTTTGCAAGTGAAACAACTTTGGCCTAAAGCATATTATAATTTGGCACCAAGATTATATGATAGCACTCATGCTTCGTCATTTAAATACACTCTGTATATGCCAATGAGAAAATTATGTAATTAAATTAGAATTAAAATCGTAAACGAACCATCTTCAAAATTCAAGGATATTCGTAATATTCAAACAATGGCAATAATTAGGAAAATACAGCACTTAACAAGAGGTTGTTTAATATTTAAACAAATATTTGCCTAAGGAAAATGTATAGAGCACAGAATAAATATTTTCAGAGCAAATAAATTCTAGGATTCAGACGATTGATTCAACCATAATTTGACCTGTATTTGACTAGGACAAATTAGTCCCCAACAAATCAGGCAGAAAATGATTTAATTTTCTTTACAGAGGTTACATAATTGTATTTTAATGATCCGTTATATGAATTTGAAATTAACGATCTAAGGTTATATTTACATCACACTCGAATCAAGGTCGTTCTAAATTAACAGCAGTCAGGCTAGACTCGAAACTTAAAAAAAAATCATCACGGAGGCGAAATATTTTAGATAAAACACCACAAATGCCACATATGAAAAAATTGATTATTTACAGTAAGTATTTGTCAACAGAGCTATTTAGCAGGAATTGTTTTTTTTTTCTAACATGAGATAAGATAAAGTTCATTTTAATGAATCACAATTTGTACCTATGTACAATTTCACAATTTTTCTAAAGGAAACGCAAAAATTATATTCCCACACCTTACAGTAAAAGCAACCAGATTTCCTTGAAATAATTTGTCACAATCTATAAACTGCTGAGAGAAATTTAAACAATCAGCTGAGTCAGAATGCTGATGTGACTTTTAACATGCATCTCTGTAAGAGCAGCATAATTGCATGTATTCCCAACTAACTCAAAACATGAAGCAAGTACATCTTATTCTCTCCGTTTGAGGAACGTGTAACTTACCGATTAGTAGTTTGGGGGTCTAGTATTTGCAGTCTATCTAAGTCTGGGGGTTCTGGCACTGCATGCAGTCGACACAGTTCCCTAAGAAGTATTATCACTTGGTGAAGGACATGATTGTCCAAACCCTCTGTATTACTTAAAATTTGCACAGCATTTGTTATACTGGTTTCTTCGGAATCTGCGAACCAAACCGGAGGTACAGAGGGATAGGTTTCCTGTAAGAATAGAAAATTTTGCTTAATATGGTAGGCAAAAACTTTATTTAAAATGACAACAAAGTGACAAACACAGCTGTCTGAACTACATATGTTAAACGTCAAAAAAAAAACAAGATGGATAAGATCCTTTGTTAGTTAAATTTACAAAAAATAAAACCACCAAGAAGCTGTTCTTGGTACGGAAATTGCGGTGTAAGCTACGTACCGTTATATTTGCATGGATTGCGTATTTTTTACCATTTTTTCCTACAAATCTACAACTCAATTCGTCAACACTCGCGGATACGATCTGAAACCGTTCATGACTTGTAGAAAATATCGATTCTAATGTCCTTATTTCCTGTTTCAAGGTATTTAAACAAGCCATATGTATCACTAACTAGTAATTTTGATAATTTTTCACTGCTGAAAAATTATTTAGAGCACAAATTTTAAGTAGTTGAGCACTCCCTACACATCAAAATGGCTGCTCAATGGCGACTAGTGCAACGAACAGATCTCGTCGAGGCTGCTCGGTAATTCTCGTCTGAGCAACTTTTCGAATGAGCACTGAGCACCGGGATAACGGGACTTTAAAACTAGGATTTGGGGCAGCTCGTCCCCTTGTTTCGCTTTATTAGAAATTGACATAATTTTTTATGATATGCAAACTAAGGGAAAAGTGACCAATAGGAGCTTAGCAGCAGCGTATTTGCGATCGTTTTTAATATTTGGTTCGGCCACATAACATATCGCCTCTTCGTCACGTAGACGATGTACATACAAAATCTATTTACAATTTACAACTTTTGAGAGCTGATAATCTTAAATAAATAAATTTTTATTGATTTACTAAGGTTTGTACGCAGTTTGATTAATAAAATATATATAGACCAATAAACAGTAAATAATTTATTGATCAGAAACGGGTAAGTACGGAATAGCGACAAGTAAACAAAATAGAATGAACGTATTATTTGGCTGTAGAGGGGAAAAGGCAAACAATTGTGTCACTTTTATTGATCATTTTTGTATTATTTTTTAAACACATACATTAAAATATTGTAAAAATATAACTGATTGCTTTTAGTCTGTAATTTACACAAAGTAAAATGGAGTTCAAGAAGTTTGAAATCATTCAGTAAGTAGGTAGGTACATAAATATCTATTTTTATTTAATACCTACACAAGCAGCAACAGTGCGAGTGTAGGTACCAGTAAAAATTCTACCTGGGTTTTAGAACTGGTTGAATTAATTGCCAAAAGTCCCTTCAGTATCAATTGGGAATCTTTAGCTGGACAGAAATATTTTATTGATTCTTTAGAACTTTATTCAATACCTACAAATCCTGAGAAAATAAGTACCTACATGCCTAGGTATAAGTGCAATGGTAATGTAACAAAGAAATGTGAATTTCCTATGAGGCCTTGAATTAAAGAAATTATGGAATCTTCAATGTATTTAATCGTTAATCGTTAATTTAAATTATAATGTTTTAATTCAGTTCATTTTATCAGATATAGGTACATATTAATTCATATAAGAAGATACTGATAGTCGTCAAATATGTTTCATTTGTGTCCGAAAATATTTTGGTATTTCAATAATCCCATAATACTGGATTTTTTAAAATTTTGTTTAGTACCTTTAACAGCGCCATCTAGGAACCTATACGGAAAACAAGCTGTATGAAGATATAAATAACTGTAATTTGACAACTGTCATGACATCTTACATCATTATAGCAAATTAAACGTTTAGTTTCATAAAAGTTTTAGAACTTAGGTACTAGGTAAAAATTTAGTAAATACAATTTAGAATAGTTAGTTCTTCAATTATACAATTACTACTTATACTAGATAGATAGATAAATATTGTGCAAACTATAAATTATAAAATAATAATTACAGAATATTTACAAAATGGTTTATTTTTAAACGAGGAACTGAATGGAAATGCTGTGGCAGAGTGTGTCTCATTTTTAACTAAAACATGACGAATTCTTGTAGAAAATTCTATTCTATACGTAGAATAAATCTGATCTAAATCTCACCTACATATCCGTATTTGGCGCTCGAATTTTTTGATAAATATGGTTTGTCATATAATGTTCTTGATCTGTTAAATTCGCTAATTAATAACCAAGGTAGTCGTACTACCCTGATTATTACACGATTCAGTTTTTAAAAACGCAGTGGAGTAACTAAAATGTGAAAATAATAACACGTTTCTCCCACTTGCACGCATATGATGAGAAAAGAAACGCTTAAACTGAAAACTGACAAATCGTGAAATTAGACTATGCACTCTTATAAAACGTACTACCTACTATTTTTAGCACTCTGGTATAATTACTTTAGGTATTTCATCAGTAAATGTAGCAGGTACATCTTGGGACTGTTAATTTTAAGTTCAATGCGTGAGATGGAGAAGTGGGTACGGCTTATTATTATGAACAGTTAGGAATAACGTAATTCTAGACTATTAATTCATACACAGGGCGATTCTTGACCAAGTTCCGACAATAAACGGAGTGACAATTATTTTTATGCGATTTGTGAGACGGCTAAACTGTCGGATGACGCAACAGGCGGCTGCCCCAACGGCGGAGACAATAAAAATGTGGGATAATTAATTTTTGTGGTGTAGGTCGTAAATAAATACTCTTAGCTCGCGAGGTTTTATGTAGGCAGGAGTAAAAAAATAATACAGGTCCTCAGCGAAATTTAAACACCCATAAAACCTCGAAATTTAATCCATTGCCCAGCGAAGCGAGTGGGCAGCCTTTGACATATTGGTTCGTTAATCCTAGTGTTGCAGTTCATTGGCAAGGTTGGGAGAGTGCTAATTAGTGGACGGGTTGGAGACGCCACTGCGGTGGGAGGCGTACTAAAAGCGAATCTTTCTACGAAATTGTAATAGGCGATTGAAAAACAAACATGTTTTGGAAAGATTTCTAATTTTTTTTGCTATGAGATCATTAATAACCAAAAGAATCATTGCCAGCAGGTCATCTTTATGCAGTTTTGTATCTATGAACCGTTAAATTTAAACTCTAGTTCATATGAACTCTCTTTGTATTAATTTTTACCAAGGAACACCCTGTAGAAATCTTAGTTGAATTAAGGGACTTCCTGTACTGCTTCCAGAAAGTTTAAAGTTTAGTCCTTTAATTGAGTGGCCGCCGAGATCCCCGGTCTTGACGCCATTGGATTTTTTGCTTGGAATCAAGGCCACAAACTGTACACGACCAAACCAAACCCCAAACCCAAACCAAATACAAAAAGTAATTACGAACGTACGTAAAGGAATTGAGATGTGCAGAGAAGTAAATGGTGGATTGATAGAAGTGACAAGAATATAATTATTTAATTTTTGTTGGTTTAAGTTTCATTATTTTATTTCTAAATTTGTTAAAACTAAGATTATTAATAAATTAGTATAATACCGCATTATTAGAGTTTAATTATTTCATTTTTTGTTTTTGTTTTGCTTCATGGACAACTTGATATCAACAATAAATTAATGAAAAAAAAATTAAAGACTTCTGAATTTTTTATTTGGCCACAAAATCGTTATTATTTAAAATTTCTTCATAAAATTTAATGTTGGCCCGTTTTAGGGGGTCGTGAATCCAGTGGCGTAAATATATTTTTTCTCAAAAAATCCCTAATATGAAATATTAGAATTTTACTCCTAAAAATGGACTTAGTACGCCTTGGATTTTGTGACATCTCGCTAATTTTTCTTCACAAAGCACATATCTTAAAAAAAATCCGGTTAAAATCGCACAATAAATAAATATTTTACAAAAACAAATGGGTCACACTGTATATTTATTATCTAACAAAAAAAAATAGAAATTTTTAATCCAACACTTTCAATCGCCACATCTAAACGCAAAAAACTTTCTCCTATAATCCACCGAAAATAAAAAACAAATTATCCTTTATTGCCTATATTTATCACTGCAATGATCAAAAATAAAAAACCGGTCCTATACTTTTTCTAAAACGTTACCTCACCACGCATTATTACTCCAACGGCCTTGAAGACGAACTTCTTGCATACAATTTTCTGGCCAGTACCGGATATTATGCAAATCGAGTACCGATGCACAGATAAAAAAGAGTTAATCAGCCTATAAGACACTATCGCAGAAATTTGGAGTCAGTGTTTTATCTTAATCGACATTTTTCAATGCTGCTGAAGACCAATACGATATTCAAATGTTTATATTTTCCTTTTCACTGAGACATTTTAACGGATATACAGGGTGTCCCAAAAAGATCAAATAAAAGTTGTAGGACGCCAAGAAACCATATTAGTGACCTTGGGTTTGACCTTGACCTTAAGCTTCAAGGTCAAACCTAGATCAACTTGAAAATATTAAATGGAACACTGAATTTTTTATGTGAGTAACCCATAGAGCGTCAAATTTCACGCCCAAGTATGATGATAGAATTTTTTTCCGTAAATAACTCTACAAAAATTTATTAAGCAATATTTGCAGGATTTTGTATGACAAATTTCACCTCCACCACAATGTACAAGGTCAAACTAAGGTCAACTTTATATCAAATGGAACAAGCTATTTTTTTATCCAACAGCCAATACAGCACCAAGTTATATTGGCCTCTGGGACCAAGTAATTTTTACAGGATGTCATTAAAAGGTCAAACCGATTTTTCAAAAAAAAATACAGGATATAAAAGTAATATTAATTTAACTATTAGTATGTCCTTGACAACAATTTTGAAATTTAGCACACAGCCCCACAAAAAAAAGTGGGAGGTCCGAAAGACAAGGTCATGGTAACTATATGGTTTTGGGGTCGCTGAATCCGAATCCGGTGTCCGTTTGACTCGATTAGCTCTGGTTAAAGGTCCTTTCAAGGTCAAATGTAGAGAATCAATTAGCAACAAAGTAAGCCTACAGATCTATACGTTTTTGGGGTCAGTGAATCCGAATCCGGTGTCCGTTTGATCCGATCAGGTCTGCGTTAAGGTCAGTTCAAGGTCAAATGTAGAGAATCAAGTAATTATAATTAAAATTTAGTAGTAGTATCCATTTTGCATTACTCTCATTCTGACCCCATATTCAGACGTAAAATTGTGCATTCCATCGATTGTTGTTGACCTTGAATCTTAAAGACAAGATCAAATTCAACCCCAGTGTATTGGCTTTTTTATACACAATTTTTATATGAAACTCTTTCATAGGACTAATTCTGAAAAGTTATCGGGGTGTTTTTGGGACATTCTGTATTATATTTATAAGATCCTTTAGGTCTTATAAATATAATATGTTTTATTTTCTTTACCTATAAAATTATATTTGAATTCAAATGGAAGGTATTTTTTCTTTGATATACATATTCAATTAAAAACAAAATATAAAGTCCAAGAACAATTTTTTAAAGGAATATCTTTTGCAAGCAGTGATAAAACTGGCTGAACATGTATTGTGTCTCAAAAGGCTGAAATATGTCTTGCTACTCTTGTAAAGAATTTTTACGACCTTGTATCTGAATATCTCGTATGTCTTTGATATCCTGTTGAAGTGCTAAAAAACTGCGAGGATGGACTTTTGCGAACAAGAAAAAATTCTTTGTAGAAACACGAATGACATTTCGTAGTTTTATTCATAGTTGGGCACATTGTACAGGATGTCCAAGCTAAAAAGTTACATTCCATTTCTCAGCAAGTATCAAAATAAATTCAGTTTAATTTTTTTTGCACAGTTCTTTTGAAAAATTTACTTAATACTTTTTATAGTTTTCGAAATATTTTTTACCTAAACTGTTTACAGTTTAATTTGAATCAGCTACCTTTGATTTGAATGTATTTTATTATTAATGATGTGGAACGAATTCGTAGTAGGTGGACGTAATACCGAAAAAACTGAAAATCACTCACCATTGACGTTTTAATTATTACAGTTTGAAACTCCACCTACTACGATATTCTTAGAATTAATGATGGTTTGGTTACTATGTTTTATTTGTAAAAACTTTAATGACGATATGAGAAATTAATTCAAACACTGTAATTGTAAAACAAAAAAGGTAGTAAATGGTTTTGTTCAAGCACAAATTGTGTACACTATGTCCTTTTAGTGAGCCTCTTCTTCAAAGCTTTACCTTTGTTCCAAGTTTATAAACATCCTGTATTGTATTAAAATATTGCATGAATTATTGTTAAAAAAAATATGTTGTAAATATTTTATTAGAGATAGTTATACAACATCCATAATGTGCCTAAGAAAATTGAACTATAAACTAAAACAATTTTGAATCTTTTTCAAAAATATTACTTTTTAATTTCTAAATGTGTAACAGAGATTGTCTAAGGCAAGGGTCGGCAACTGGCGGACCGCGGTCCAGGTCCGGACCGCGGAAGGTAAAATACTGGACCGCCAAAATTTTTTGAAAGTATAAATTACTCAAATAAATTATTTAAAAAATGTTTTTTACGTTTAAGTGCCAATCTTATAATTTTTTCTAGTATTTTACAATTGTGTGAGTGTGTGAGTTCTTAATGGTTAATAAGCAAATTAAATTTGAGTCCAAAGTAAAATAAAAAAAATAAGAAATATGAATATTTTTCTGGACCTCGTTAAAAATTTTCAAAAGTATCCGGACCGCACCTAAAATTACTTGCCGACCCCTGGTCTAAGGAGTCGGTAGTGTAACGCTAGATGTTAGAAAAATAATTTTCACTTTCAAAGTGTAACATGAACATAAGTGATCCTAAATACAGGGTCGGAAAGTACCGACGGTCCATCTGCCGTTACGTGAGAGCGATAGAGAAAGATGGCTATAATGAAGGCGTCTAATAGTCACCGCCCATTTCGCCCTTCCACAAATAAGAAGTGGATCTTATTAATAAAATTACTTGAACATTCCTTTTAACCCTGTTTTTTTTTTAATATAATCAATAGTCTATAATATTAGTAAACAAAATATCCCTCTTATTTCTCCCTTTCGCAATTGTAATATGAACGATAATAGGAGGTGCCTATAATAAATTAATATTACCTCAATCACACCAAATTCCGTATTGCTGCACTGCACTGCTAGGCCATTTGTTGACAACTGCGACAATGCGACTGTATTTGTACCGCGTTTGCCCGCGCGCTCATTTTTCAGCTGTATGTGGGTATGGCTAAATAAATATGGGAACAAGTTTTTCAAATACTGGTACATACTGCCAATCTCTCGGTTCTTCAATTGAGATCGGAAAGACTATACCAATATGTTATTAAAGTAGCCCTTATATAAAATGTTCAATATTTGAAAGTTATGGAGAATTTCGACATTATTTCTTGCAACATGATTGATATAAAAAAATACTTTCAACAGATGTATTTTTTTCTCTGTTTTATTCGTCTTTTTTCAGTTGTTTTTGTTATTTGTATTACTTTAATATTTTGATGTTGACATTTATCATACTTTGATTTCTTGTATTTTTAGGTTTGTACTGTTTTTATGATGTATTGTTTCTTATTTTTTAATGCTTTTCATTTTAAATGTTTTTATATTGTACTTTGTAGCACTTTTTTGTACAATATTTTGTACACTACTTATCCTTTAAATGGATTTTATGCCCGTTTGATATTTTAACAGCAAATAAACAAATAAAAAAACAAATGTTGTAATACGCTTTAAGTAATCTACAGGGATGTTTTTAATTATATGCCAAATACAAATAAATTTTGCAATAGAAATTACGTTTATTTCCAGTGTCAAAAGTTTGCTTGGTGGCGAATTCTGCAAATTTTTGCTCCGATCGAAGGTGAGACTACTACAATAGAAGAAGGATCAACTAAACGAACATCTTGTATCGACCTTTCATTGACACATCCCACAGTTGTAAACTGAATACAATTTCTCTCCATTGTAAAATCACTTCCAAGACCCAACTTAATTTCGGGCATTTTAATTAATCGCTACGAGGCAATAACGAAACAATTAAGATTTTCAATCATTCCATCCCGCGTCCTGCACGATATGCTCATATAAGGACCCCCTGAGGCTCTGCCCATTTCAAAAGCTCTAAAAGCTCAGCACGCGGACTCTGGTGGGGACCGCGGTGCTCCGTATAAGAAGACGCGGCCCTGACTTTGAAAACAATTCGCGAATCGCGTAAAGTTCGTCGGTAACAACTGAAAGGGCGAGCGAGGGTTGCAATGTTCGCGAGGATGCGTGCTGTAGTTCTGCTGGGGTTGGTGTATCACGCAGCCTGTGGACCGGCCTTCGAAGGCAACCCTTTCCTGCAAGGTGAGAGGATCCGTTTATCAAAATATGTCATTTATTTAAAATTTTTTGAATACTTTCGATTTTATACGCTTTTGGACACACTTATTTCTTCTATTATCAGATACTATTTAGTTCAAATGCATGAAACTATAGTACTGTATTTAATTTCGAAGTTTTTTTATTTTTAAGATAAGTAAAATTTATATTTACTTAAATTATAAAGACTAAGATGTTAATTTTACATCACTCACATCTGTTGGGTTTATTAAATCAATTTTAAGCATACCTTTCGATAAGTTTTTTGTTATTATTTTTTTTATGTATATTCTATTATTTTTGTACTTTTAGTTTAAATTTATTAAGCTATGTCAAATTAATTCATTTTTTTTTGAATGCTCAGCTCATCAAATAAAGAATATAACAAGATTCATTTGCTTTTTAACATATAAATTTCCCATACAAAAAGAACAAAACATTTTTACAAAATCCGTTTTATGGTTTTGAGATTAGAAACTTCAGCTAAAAAGATCAGTCTGTTAGAAAATCATCCGAGTTTGCCTATTCCAAAAAAACATTGCTAAATTCAGAGGAATAATAAACATACAAAAAGAACGAACAATTACCCATTTTTCGACATATTTTTCTCAGTAACGTTGAAAGTAAGCCCTAAATAAAAAAACTAATTCTTTATTTTTTGTTTATTTGACGATTTTCTATAAAGTTACAATAATTGCGAAACAAAAAAGTTGAAATTTGCTTTAACAATGGGCGACAAATAGTAAAAAATCATATGTATATTTGGAACAATTTTTAAAATAAGTAAATATTTATAAATATTGATGAACCTTTGTAAACAAGTAGTAAAACATATGTCAATTCTACCCTAAAAATTTTGCAACGATCGATAGCGTGGTTTTCGATTGACAGGATTGTTAATTAAGAAAATTTTAAAAAGTTTATCGCGTACCGCGGGTTTAAATTAAGGTTTAATTTTAATAAACATTCATCAATACTAAAAATACCTATAATACTTTAAAATATTTAAATTTAAATACTTACTTACTTACTTAAATACGTTTTAAATACTTTTATAACCATTTAGAAGCTTTCAAAATTTTTTCAACATTTTACTCTATAAACACAGATATAGATATTGTTGTAACATTATAGAAAATCGTCAAATAAATAAAAAATGAAGATTGTGTTTTTTACTTAGGGCTTACTTTCAATGTTACAGGGAAAAATATGTCGAAAAACGGGTCATTTTTGGTTCTTTTTGTATGTTGGTTGTTCCCCTGAATTTAGCAATAGTTTTTTGGAATACATAAAATATTTGGGATTTTTCTGTACAACAAAATAGATGACTTCAAATACAAACGCCTGGAATGCTTTGCCGCCTGGACTAATGGTACATTTAATCATTTAATATACAAAAAATTTACGGGAAAATTAATACGCCTTAAAGGCAGCAAAATGTTTACATATTAATTTCACACATTACTCGTTCTTTGTTCAAATTTTATATAATTTTGAATTAAAAATGTTCTCTAATGACATTTTTTTTGTTCCTATAGTTTTTAATTGAACTACGAGTTAAGATACAAAATTTTGGACCATAAAAACAATTTTTGAACATATAATCTTTTAGGTAAATGTTTCTGAACGGCATTAATTGCTGGATGATCGTATAAAAACAGTCGATAATATTTATTTTTACAGTCAAACGCCAACACGTAAAAAACCGCTACTACAAAGAGCAATCACTGGTTAGGTAAAATAAAAACAATTGACATTAATCTAGTTATATTCAACGCTGTCGCTTCAAACTGTCATTGTTTCTAGAAGTTCTGTGTTTTATATATTTCTGGATTTTTGTTTGAACTTTCCAGTTTTCTCCAAAAAATATGACATCGGTATTAACTTATAAGAAATTACCTTGTTATTGTTACATAAATTTCAAATTCATTAACGTATATTAAAAAAATATGTAGGTCCAAGAACAGTGCCTTGTGGGACAACTGTGTCTATTTCCAATTCTGTACTACATTTTTATTAATTTTTCTTTTTCGCATTCAGTTTTTGGAGAATAAGACATTTAACCTGCGTCCTTTTATTTCAGTACTTATCATAATTTTTTTGTAGTATGTCACGATAAATAGTGGTATAATATTTTTTCTATTAATATTATTGATTATTTCATTAGTCAATGTAATTGTAGCATCTTTGGACTTTTGTTAAATCTAAAACCAACAAACGAAAATCTAATTTTTAAAGATTTTCAAATATTTCCCCGACTGTTTATCTCTCTATCATCATTTTTATAAATTAGAGATTCTCCTTAAAAAATAAATTTACCTTATTTTTTGTTTCGCCATATTTTTTTTTTAATTGAGAGGTTTTGAGAAAATTGTATTTACTGTAACGATTTTACATTTCAATAATATCCTGCACAAGAAATACATTATTCGGGAAGGTGCAATAAATATTTCTGCAAACTTCTACACGCTGTGCGCTGGTTGGAAACATTTCACAGAAATCAGGATTTCCTTTAATGTCTGTGTTTATCTTACAAGACTTTACGACCGGCTATATTTATTATCCTGAAACTGATAACCGTTTTAGTCCAAGCCATACGTCTAACAAACCATGATGTTTAAGAAACGTAAAGTATAATATATGTCAGTAGATATCCATCTAAATTATTCATTGGTCGATGTCTGGCGACTCTACCGATGAAAGATCTTAGCTGTTTAGTAGATGTTGTAGGTGTAACTCAACGCTGGACGGGGCATGCAGTCAGCGGAGTAGTTGTTTCCCACAACGTCAATAGTTAACAATATAATGTACTTTTCAGAAATGAAAAGTGATTTTAGTTCCGAAAAATCACACAACCCCATAAAGAAACAACAAGTTTCAGCAACGATCCTCAAGTTTTGAATACTTTTCCCATTTTTACATCCGCCATAGTGAATCCGCCATTTTTTATTCAGAAATTTTCAGACTTCAGATTCGTAATCAGCGACCCCAAAAACCAGCGGTAACAAAATTCGAGCAAGAACACTGAATGGAATCATATGGGTGGGTGTGGATTTAATTTGTATATATTTCTTTCCAATGTTCTGCAATTGCTTTTCATTATAGAGTTTTACCTCACTATTTTACCCTATTTTAAGGGATATTTTAGTGTTTTACTAAAAAATGACCTGGTAAATTGTTTTTGTTCTGAGGTTTAGGATTCAGCATCAAAAATACACAAAATCTATGTACCTACTCATGTCTCTGATACACTACTTTCCTAAAAATAAATCAAACTTTTGCACAAAAAGATAATATTATATAGCAAACTTTTTTATTTTATATAAATATCTTTTGTAGATTACCATTTAAACCAGCTTCACAAACTCATCTGTGGCAAATGATAATACATTTTCTAGAAGAAAGAGGATATTTTAAAAGTTATAAATATAGTATTTCTATCGCCTGTCCATTTTAGGATCGAAATAAAGTTTACTAAGCTCGTTTTACATGAAACGCCTTCATATTGGTAGAAATATAAAATTGGAGAATAATAATACGATAAAATCTCGAGAGTATATTTCGCATTTTTTTTAAGAAATAAAAAGGAAGCGTAGGATATAACCTGAAGGTCGTTCGTTGACATCGAGAAGCTTAAATCCTACTAGAAATTTTTATGGAGTTTTGTATATGTATAGATTTTACCAAATCATCACAGGAAAAGTGAAAAAAATTCAAAAAATTGAAACTTGTTTCTGAAATTTCCCGCGAAAACTTAAAACAACCATTATTTATGATTAAACTAGTTACTTTTCAACACTATTTTCTTTCATATTTAACATCGGATGATTAAAAAATATATTATTAATTCTTTTAACGAGAAACAACTAGTCACTGTCCATTATTCTTAGTACAAACTATGATACAGTTTTCTGTGGTTAACATTTCCAGTGACCACAAAATAATCTAGCCAGTTTTGGCTGAAAAATGTGAAATTTATGGTAATTCACTTTTGTCTCCCACCTACATATATTTTTTACGGAATTATAAATGTATATAAACGTATATGTCAATTGTTATCTAAATCACGTCATTTATATCTAAAATATTCATGGGACGTTTCAAAATTCTCACAATAACAAATAAGACGCTGTGGAGTGTTTTTCTTAGGGTCATGGATTGCTTGATTTAGTATAGCAATTAGCTAATGCATGTTTTTAATCTTCGGTGAAATAAAAGATAATTAAAAATTGTTTTTTTATATTGAAAAGGCGTGCGGTTGTTCATGAGAAATCAATTTTATGACGCTACATTGACGCAACTAAAAGTATTGACCAAAACATTTCAATCAGTCAAAAGTCTAGAGTCACTTGTTCTCGAGATACAGGGTGTTGAAGATATGCTAATTATTTAACTTGTTAATGGCAAATATTAACTGAAATGGTATAGAAATACAGGGCGATTCAACCAACATGTAAACACATTTGGGTCCATTTTTCTCAGTTTCTACGAACTAACACAAATGCCGTCTTGTTTCACCATAACACAAATAGTCCAATTAACTAAGCCTTTAAATCGAAATTTTGTCAACTTGGCTGAATTTTTGATATGAGTTAGTTTAAGGTACATTATAACAATAAGTGAGAGTAATTTTTTGTTAATTGTCTGCTTTACAACTTTCATGAAAAACTTTTTTTTCTAGCTCTTACCCTTTTTGAGTTATCTTGAAAAAGCCCTTTGTTTTATCTTTTTCCACCCTTGGCCGGGGGTTGAACAAAAAATTACTCTCACTTATTGTTATAATATACCTTAAACTAACTCATATCAAAAATTCAGCCAAGTTGGCAAAATTTCGATTTAAAGGCTTAGTTAATTGGACTAAAATGCTTCACCACAATACAAATGTTTTCTTGCTTCACCATAAGTTAAAACGATATCCATCAAGTCGGAGTTGCTATACACGCAAGGCATTTTTGACACTAACTACTAAAAAACTACTGTAAACA